GACTTCAAGTGTACAATAAGGCTGAGTAAAAAAACTGATCTAAGGAGTAAAGTAAATTAGACACTGCAAAATTAAATAAAAAAAGGTAATCATGCACAGCAATAAAAAAAAGAAAAGCAATGAAAAAACATTAAAGAAAAAAACAGACTGTTATGTTGGTCGCATGTCTCTTGATGGCGGTGATAGGCTAAACCAACATGATTTTTTTTTCATTGGCCACTAGCCTGTCATTGGAGTGAGAAGAAAAAAAAGAAGCTATTTAAAAAAATGTTTAACTAGTCAGACCGGTCTTCTGTGATGAATGAGAAGGGAAAGTAACAATTACAGTAGGCTATAGCAGAAAAAAAGACACAGAGGGATAATTATTTTACTTTTGGTATTTTTTGTTGTTTTATGCTGCTTCTGTGATATTGTGTTCAGTGAGTGACAGTTTAATATTTTTTCACTCCGAAGCAACCCTTGTTTGTGGTAGCAAAGATACTCTCAGAGTGCGCGTACAGCTCCTGGCAGAGGTGAGTTTTATTATTATAGCCTACTCATCTGAATGACATATTCATGCTCTTGTAAATGTAGTGCTAACATTTGTAACAAGCCTCTGCGGAGTTGAGGGAGTCTCCGTCAGGTGAAATCGCGTTCGGATCGGAGGGGCACTTCAATAAGACAGAAAGGACACTTTACCATTAGACAGCAGGATGTTTTGCATTTCAACGCTGTACAAACGTGTACGGAAAGTGGCTCCAGATGACAAGGCAACATCTTAAACTAGCCTTAAGTAGTTTACTAGTCTTAGCTGGATTGCCTGCCTGGTCTGTTTTCTGGTTTTAAATGTGTTTGGTCCCATTAAGACCATGTCCTGCAGAGTTTAGCCCCAGCTTGCCTCAACACACCTGACTGGAAGTTTCTATGCCTAGTAGGAGCTTGATTAGCTGCTTCAGGTGTGTTTAATTGGGGTTGGAGCTAAATTCTGCAGGACACCGACCCTCCAGGACCGAGTTTGGGGACCCCTGGTCTGAAAGACCAGCAAAAAAGCTTAGGGTGGTTTACTTGAGGCAGTTTTTTTTCAACAGGGATGTAAAATAAATAGTCTATAAGGTATTAAAAGAGCCTGTGACTGAGGCCATGGGCGTCGCTAGGTCAGTTTTAGGGGGGCTATAGCCTTAAATTTCATATGAAAACGACGGCAGACTTCGATCGGCTCCTCCCCGTCTTTCAGCGCGTTCTTTTTCAATCCACAGAGCGAGAAACAGAGAACAAGGTGTGTGTTTATCGATAGAGCATAATATTTGCATCTGTGCAGTTCTGTTCTTTGTCATAAATACAGTTTACAAAATATCATGCGGAAGCAATAATCGGTTCTTTATCGACTGTAGCCTAAGTTTTCACTGCGTTCGTCACACCATAGCTGTTTGAATGCATATTTTATAAACGATCAGGTTGCCATTTTCATTTGAAAATGTAACTTTCAATATAATACATATTCCAGTGTATGTGGCAAAGAGGTTTGCATACTTGAGCTAAGGAAAGAGGGTTGTACTAGAAATGCAAACAGTAAAATGTTGTGTTTGTACAGTAATAACAGGTTGTGTGAGATCATGAAGACTTGAATTTGGCTTATTCAGTACTCAAATGTTATACCTATGCAATACAGTTGAATACTGCAATAAGTTTAGTGTATGACCCCTATTAATCAAACATGTTTATATATATATATATATATATATATATATATATTATTAGGCTATTATTACACCCTCACTGGGGGCTGAGCCCCCCTAAAATGAAAACCCTAGAATCACCCCTGAGGAGGCCATTTATACTAATTCAAATAATTTAATTTAATATATTTTTAAAAAATGTGTCATTATGACTAAATTAATTCTTTTTTTATTTTCATTATGACTCAGTTATTTTTAAAAATGTTTTATGACTGTAAATTAAATGTTTTTTTTTTTTAATGTGACATTATGGATGCAAATTAATTGTTTTCACCTCGTTTTTCTGTTTGTATTTTCTTTTAGAGACCAAACACTTATTCATCATATGCATGCATGTATATCACTTTTTCTCAAAACAGATAAAGGTACTAAAAACCTCACTGATGTAAGGGAGGAAAAAACACTGATAGGAAATTTGAGAATAAAACCAATTTATAAGCTGATTAAAAATATATATTTTGGACATCATAGCCATGGAGAGGAAGTCATGGTCGTCCCTGATCCTGTGTTTAGTTATATTTGTGATCATGGGCTTGGTGGGATATATACACTTTAAAAAGGAATTGGTGAACAAACTAAAAAATGAAGTAGAGTTCTCAGAGGCAGAGGTGACAGAAAAAGAACTAGATCTGAATAATTACGGTTTAGCAGTTGAACACACACAGAAGGAAATTGACAATGCAGATAAGGAGGTCAAGGAACTTCAGGATGAGGTCGGGAAATTGAACTCTGCTAAGGAGGAAAAGGACAAAGAAGTTAAAGCATGCAAGGACTCAGTGGTGAGTGAATAAAAAAAACTGGTGCATAAAAATTTAGCAAAATTGCATGCCATGTATGTGACATGACAATACGGTATGGTGTTGTAAAGTATTTTCATATTGTTTGATATGGGCTGTGCAAAGCAATGGCACTCAAACTAACAACTGCTGAACTGGCAGTAACCAAACAAGTATACCCAACACCACTGTCAGCCAAATTCAAATCTAATTAAGACTAATTAAATCATTGGTCACGAGCAGTCTTATATATGTATTCATTTATTTGGTTGTTTTGTTGTGGTATCTGCTTTGGCTAATTCTAAAGAAACATGGCATGCTAAGACTAGAGGCGGTGCTTTATGTAACAAATGCTGCAGTTTAGCTCTATTCTGATTTCTTACCATCTGCCTCTGTGTTGTGTTTCATAGGCGGGGTTGAGTAATGATGTTGCAGCCATGGAGAAGGAGAAGAGTGACATTGATGGTATATTTAACTGTGTTTAGCAAGGAAGCCCCAAATATGATATGAACTGAAAATTAAGGCAGCTAAATATTTTCATGTATAGAGACCCACTTATACGGTGTGAAAAATGTATTCTACAAAATTAAACAATTCAAAAATATTTAATATATTAATAATACATATTAATCAAATATATAACAGAATATGAAATTTTTTTAATAACTTCACAAAAGATCTTTAAAATTCCATGTTATTTTTTATTGTCCTGAACAGTATGTTTACATATACTCCACAAGACAAAATAATAACTGATGATCCTGTTTAAAAGTGTACACATCCTTGAATCTTAATACTGTGTACCTGGATGATCCACTACTGTTTTGTGATAGCTATTATCGTGTTGGCTTCTTGAGCATCAGTTAATGTTAAACATTAGTATACTTTAGGTTTAGGTTATAAAAAAAAGGATGAAATTTGAAGACCAACAAAGAAAAGAGATGCTTATAGTTCTCTCTCTTGATCTTTTGAGGTAAAAAGACTAAATGGAATGAAGAAATTAATGGCCTTAAGCAGAAGCTCCAGGACCACAGTCCAGTCTGTGACTATGTGAAGACCACTGCAGAAGACCTTAAGAAAGATCCTACCATAAAGTGAGTTTTCAAAGAATGTCTTTCTTCTGATTAGATATGAATGCACTCATGATATGAAAACTCGTCACAAACATAAATGATCTTGATTGATCTTGAGCTCAGAGTTTGAATTCATTTTAATACCTGTATGTTCTTTTTTTTTTGTTACAGGGAACTTTGCCCTCAAATTCAAATTGTAGTTAAAGCATAACGGAAAGAAATCCAGCAGTCTGAATTCAAGACAGCATTCTATAGCAGGATTAAACAGATTATTTCATTGAAAAAGTCTTTTCTCAAGGGAAAGTCTAATCAGATCAGTGTAATTTGTAACTGGTTAGCAACCATTCGACAGCTTTGAAATGGTGGATTTATACATTCCCTCAAGGAACTGCATGGACCATCTGCATCTCTACAGTAGCCCTTATGATGTAACCTTAAAAATGGTTTTATAAATACATTTATTTTTTCTCTATTATAAATTGGTTGTTATATTATTGCTGAACTGTAAACTGCTTTGATTAAGGTATATGGAGACTCTCCACAGAATGGTGAAGACTACATTATTTTGCAGTCTGTTTTATTGTGGGTCTTAAAAACATTGGATATAAAATGAAAGCATGCATACATTTTGATTAAACATGATAGTTGCTTCAATATCAATTTTTACGTTTGCATCTTCATCATTGCTTTGAGATATGGATTTTGGAAAAGAAAACATTGCTCAGTGGATGCCATGATAGTGTTTATACGGTCATATACTTTATATCACAACATGTTGCTTTATTGCACATATATTACTAAAAGAAAAAATATCTGTTTCTTAAGAATTCTACTTCTGTACTTATTACTTATTCCCTATCCAAAACCCTATTCCCTGTCTGTGTAAAGTATAACATTACAAATTATTTATATAATGGAATACAAATCAAAATATTGCAAATATTCGTTTTAGTTGGATTCTGATGCTAATGTCACACAAATGCAGGTGATGAACTGAGGGACACATGGAGAAGCTGTAGTTAAGAGTTACAACTTGGTAACAGAAAATTTTTGGTGTGTGTGTGCTTTAGCTGAGGCCAAATTGCTGCATCGTGTTTCATGCCAAAGGGTGTTGGAGAGACTCTTTTTAATATAACTTTAATAAAAGAAGTCCGCCACTGACTGATTTCAGAGATATTAGAGGCTAATAACTTGCTTAACTTAACTTAATAGGCCTATATTCATTCCAATTACCAAAATAACAAAAAATACAATTCAATATAGCTTGTTACGTATTTTCTACAAAATGTTTTTATATGCTGATGTTTGCGTCTCTATCACTCCCTCATACAGCTCAGACAAACAAACCCTCTCATTCTAACCACCTATTCTTTGCTGCCATCTAATGTACAAGAACGAGAAAAGCCAGTGAATTTTTCATTGTGATGTGACAAACCACACCTGAGAATCAACAAAAGGAACAAATATGTGATTGCTTCCTTTGGATGATTTTCTTAATCTCTGTCAGAAGGCTCCTTTTGTTATTTTTGATGTTCAATCCCGCTTTCTCCAGTAGTTCCTCGATCAGGTCACTGGAGTAGGGACCTTGAAAGGTCGTATATTTATGCTTCAAACGTTTAATTTCAGCTATTAAAACAGACATTTTAGAACATTTGTGAGCATTCATGTTTGGCTTTTATGCATGATATGATTATAAAATTCTTAATCTTGACTATTAATATAAACTATATTCATTTATACATTATTAAACATAGAAATGATTATTATTAAACATTGAACAATCATTAAGCAATAGCTGGACATTACCTTTATCGTCACAATTCACAATGTTGAAAAGAGGAATATGAATTACAGCCGGTGCATTGTGGCCTTCAAACACATAAAAGTCCTTTGGAGCAGATTTCTCTTCTTTTGACATTTTAGGAACTTCAGGGAAGTCAATGTGTAGTCTTTTGCACATTTTAGCTGTTTCTGTTAGTGACTATGAATTTAAACAGCATAATAGATTATGTATGTGTAGAAGGAGGGAATATTATTAGTAAATATGCACTATGCAGGTTAATAAGAAAAAAACGTACGCAGTTAATTCACCTCAAATGGGTCATTTTCACTGAAATCGAGTGAAACGATGAGATCAATGTGTCTCTCTCTCCTCAGCAATGGTAAAAAAGGTGAGTTGATGGCAATCCCAGCATCAACATATTGCCTTATTGTCTCTCCACAGACAGAAGGAGAAACCTCCGCCGCTGGAATGATGATAAAATGTTTTAAAATTCTTTTTCATTTAAAACAGTTACAATATAAGAAATTTGAAGGTACTACAAATATCCAAGAGATGAAACTTCCACTCTAAACCTTAAATGTACTACACTGTAAAAAAATGACAGTGAATTTAATGGTAAAATACTGTAAAAATGCTACAGTAAAAACCTGTTAAATGGTTAACGGTAAATTCCCCTACTATATACGGTGAAAAACTGTATTGGACATTACATGTATTGGACATAAATTATACGGTAGTTTTTGGAAGTGAAAAATGCCGTATAATTTACAGTGAATAACCGTAAATTGACATTCCCAGAATTCCCTGCGTTACATTTCAAATTTGATGTTGTTTTGTTGAAATAACTGTTTCTTCTTAGTTTTTTCTTATCGGTTTTGTATATTAGGGTTGTGTGTTACACCTAATGTTGTTAAATGAATGTTTATTGCATTATTTCAGTTTCATGTGTGTTACCATGATGGTGTTTAGTGTTTGTGTGAATGAAACTGTGCACCTTCTATAAATGTTATTATTTAAAAGCTGCTTGTGATGGGCTTTGGTTCATCATGTGACTTTCTCATCACCACCTGCATTTGGTGGTTATCAGTGTATTACAAAGGTACAAAACAGATTTCAGTACTTCAATAAGGTTGGTATATTAACATTATATCAGTTAATGAAATTACGGTATTTAACTGTAAATTTAAGTTAAAACCTAAAACGTTGCTACCGTATTTTTTACGGTAAAATTCCGGCAACCACAGCTGCCGTTTTTTTACCATAACTTTTACGGAATTTTTTTTACAGTGTAGTACAGTAAGTCTATGGCCATTTAGATATGTAATGCCAGTATTACAAATGTCACTGAATTCAATGTGCTGTACTCAATAATATACTGTTTTCATTTATTAAATAATTATTTTACTCACCTGTCATGTTGTGCAGAAAATTGTATGTTGTGCCCCAGACCCAGCAAACTACTAACTCAATGCATTTAGCAATGTTCTCCCATATCCTATTGCCTATATTAAGAGAATGATTACAAAACATAATGGGTCCCTTTCTTCTTATCAGCATAAGAAAATAACTAATTAAGCTGGCTTTTCTTACTCCTCTGATCACAATATCTAGTATAGAAATAAATTACAAAATAGATTACAATTAAAGTGGGTTTTGAATCCCAGATTATGCATAAAAGAAAAACTCACATGTCAGATTCCAGGATGTCTGCAGGTCACATATATATAGTGTGTATTCCTTAACGGTCTTCTTGTTAATTTTTTTCGACATGGTGAACAAGTTCTCATGTTTATCTTGCTGCAGATTTCCTGAAATATATAGAATAATTAGATCATGCACTGAATAGCACACATCACCTACAGTCTTCATTCAGGTAACAAAATGTGTTTAAATTTTACAATATATCATTCAAAGCAGCCTGTTATTACTCCTATGCTTAGCTTAAATCTATTAGTAATGTGATGGATACCTCTCAGTAAGTCGTTCAGGACTGTAATATGAGATGAAGGATCCTCCTCTCTTAAAACCAGACGATTCACTTCCACAAGATTCAAAAGCACTTGGCCAGCCTCGTCAGCATGTGGAGGGCTGAGGGAGCGAATGTCTGTTTGTTTTATGTCTGAAGACGCATAGTCACCCATCATGTCTAACTCACCCGAAATTAAATCTAAAAAGAACAGGTATCTTTATGTTTTGCAACATCACAGAAATACATTTTAAAAAGTGTCATTTATTTATTGGTTTATTTAATAGGGACCATGCATATTCATGAACATTGTTGTATAAGTATACACCATGTAAATATGCCAGAATTAGTAAAAATAACTACTTTTCATCTGCAGTCCCTAGGCAGGTAACAAAACTAACATAAAAACAGCCAACAATAATACAACATTCATTCACTATAAATGAAAAGATACACATAATGGTGACATATACATTGACAACAAACAATAAAACAAAACAGAAATACAAGACATTGTTTATCCACCTCTATACTACATTCAATTTAACAGTGAAAGTGTATGGGTGATAAATGTGTGACAATTAAAAATGAATACATCTCTGGTTTTCTAGAAGCCACTGTTTTAAGTGAGTTTTAAAGGTGTTGAATGTAGGACACTCTCTTATTGGGAGGGGCAAACTATTCCAGAGTTTACCGCCTATTATTGACAATACGTTTTGTCCAAAAGTGGTACGCCTAAATGGTATCACACAGTCCCCATTTACAGAGG